CAGGTTTTCCTTCGTTTTAGGTTTTAGTTGTGGGGCTTGGTGGTTGTGCTCGCCTTAGGTTTTTTGTGACATGATTTTCGGTGTTTTGCCGTTTCTTTGAGTTTTTACGGCATTTAGGTAGTATTAGGAATTAGTTTGTTGAGAAGTGTTTTTGTTTTCTGGTTTTTCTACAGTGGGATGGCTCGGGATGGGGAGTGCACCCGAGGCCAGATGCCCTCTGCTATTTTCATCTTATTCTCTGCTATGTTGATGTAAGCCTTGGGCACCGGGCCCGTTCGAAATAAAATTCCATCGAGTTTATAAAAAAAAAAAAAAAAAGTGGAAATGACTCGGAGAGTGAATCTTCCGCTAAAACATTGAAAGATTCATACACTGCCATGCTTTTTGTCGGTCTTGAGATGTCATCACTGAGCTGACCGGCCCCAGGCAATTCAGAAATATTTGGTTTCATCAGGTTCCATCATCCGGGTTCGAACTTGGGTCTGTATTTCAACAGTTCAATGGTGTACCCACTGAGCTAAGGCTCTTGGATTAGGAGGACCTGTTTTCAACAGTTCAAAGGCGTACCAACTGAGCTATAGGCCCATTGATTGATGCAGATCATTTCCAACTTGTCCAAGGGCGTACTCACACTACCCGTAGCACTATCTCAACAAATGTATCTGGCCAGACCCGCATGCATCTGGGCGCATTTCCGTCCAAAAACAAGTAAGACGTGCTGGGTGACTATGGCGAGTGTGCCCTAAGGGCTTACTACAAGTAAGACGTGCACCGAAGAGCCTAGCTCAGTGGGTACACCCATGAACTGTTGAAATACAGACATGTGTTCGAATCCAGATGATGGAACTTGATGAGAAAAACCAACTACTAATGAATTGCGTGGGGCCGGTCAGCTCAAAAAAAAAAAAAAAAAAAGAAGCATAAGTAAAACGTGGTGGGTGACTATGGTGAGTGAGGCCAGCCCTAAATTCTACCAATTTGACCAGTCGGCCGCAAGCCTTCCGGTACTGAATGATGTTGACTATTTTGAGGATCTCCGTGGTTAGGGGGTCCTTTTTTTCCCCGAAGTCTAGGGACTGTTTTTTGTGTTCGGTGGATGTGATAACTGGTGATGAGGTGTTCGAAGTCTAGTGACTGTTTTTTGTGTTCGGTGGATGTGAGAACTGGTTGATGGGGTATTCGAGCTCGGTACTTGTTTGGAGCCTCTAGGTCGAGGGTATACAGATTCGAAGCACACGACTGGTTGCATTTAACCGCACCGATGGGGCTCAAATTTTTTATTGCTTTACTGATAGCATGTGGGAATCGAACACTGTGTCGGTTGAATGATTTGTTAGGTTGTACATATTGCTGGGTTGCTTATTTTTTTGGGGATTCGAGTTGTTGCTCCGTTTTTTGATTGAGTTGGTGCGCGACTATTGAAGTGTCGACCGGCTAACTAGGTATGATGTTCAGGTGTCCAATTTAGTATATATAGTTCCTAGACTAGTGTCCACAATGTGACTTTAGACCCCTGAGGAGACCTGGTTGGCGGCCAGGCGAAACCGGTCGGGTCGTAACATCGGTCGGAAGCTTTGTTTTCGATGTGCTTCATGTTCTATTCTTTCGATTTAAGTCGCGTTTGGGACACTTGCCTTCGTCTTGTGTGCTCTTTCTCTCTCTCTCTCCTTTCCCTCTCTCTCTCTCTTTCTTCAATCTTGTCTTTGTGGTGCATTGAGGATAAGACTTCAGCCATTGTACTCTATATTGTCATCGTGACATACTTGTATCCACAAAGTAACCGAGGTAGGAGTGATACTACTCTCGAGCACATTTCTCGATTTTGTCCTCTTCCGGATCTGTGGCGGACCCACCGGGTGAGGTGCTCCGCCTGGGATACAAATGGAGATGTGTGACGCCCAGCCTCACGCCCAGCACGACTTCCTGATCGGAGTGGGATGCCTGGAAGTGCGAAAAGGGGTGTGCCAAGGATTTTTGGGAAAGCGGGGGTGGAGTCCCAGGTCAGAACTGAGATCTCCTGTGGCAGGATTTTTCGGGGGCACGAATGCAATTTGGCGGAGAGGGCGGACCGCCTTTGGTCACAAGGCAGATGGTATGCGCAGATCGCTCAAGGCCGGGCAATCCATTGGTTCCGAGGACGGCGACTTGCGGGGAGGTCCCTTCGGGGTGGGTGGGGTTCCGATGAGTCGGGCCGTCGGGAGTTGCCACGTGGCGCCGATCGTCGTGCGTTCGGGTTAGGCCTCCAGAAGTCCGGGGTCCTCTGGTTGCTGCGTCGTCGGCAATTTCCGCAAGGCGTGCTGGGCGAGTATGGGGCAATGGCCTTCCACGGGACGACGCCGAGTTGGTGATACGAAAGGGAGGGAAGCTGGTGGAGATAACGACAAAGCCTAGGTGCTTGAAGTAGTGGGTGTGGTCCTGAGTGGGGACATCAGAGCACCGGGGGTCGCTAGTGGTGGCGCAGTGAAACTCCCTAGGACACAGTCGGTTCTCGGTGAGGCAAGGGTATCTCTGTCGGAGGATTTCGTTTACCCAGGGGGTGAAGTAGTCCGGGTCGTACAACAACGACTCCGAGCTCTCTGAGCGTGTCATCATGTCATCGCAGAGCTACAAGATGCCTAAGGGCGGGTCCGTGCCGATTGCGATCACCGCGTCTGAGCACGTGCAGGCCACGCGAGCCAAGTCGCGCCTACACGTGTTCGTATGGGATGACTGTTCCGTCGCGGATCCTGGATGCCCGCGTTCAATCAGAAGGTGCTTCTGCAATCGATGGTCCCTTTGGGTTTGACGAATCTACGCACGAGGGTGCGTGCAAATGCGCAACTCAGATCGCGTTTACACTCGTCCCCGCCCGGCGTTCGCTGGGCCAGTCATCCGATTGTCTAATCATCCTTTAATTTTTGAACATGCAAGATGCAACAACCGCAACAGCCCAGTCAAGAGACAAGCAAAAACAAGAACAGGATTACCGATCGCGCAAAATTCCTATCCTACTCACGAGTGCATCAAGTGCAACGAATCAAAGGCAAAGACAAGGATCCGACAGAAAGATAAGTATCCAAACATGGCATCCATACATTTATTCATTCAGCAACATACACACAGTACATCTGAGATGGAAATCGCGAAGACAAGTGTGAGCAAAACCCAAGTCCAGATTCCGAAAAATAGAAAACGGGCAGATCGCCCGGAGCCGAAATCAAAATTTATATACACGAGACATGAGGGAGAAAAGATAAAAGAAACACCAAATCCGCGTCCATCAACCTCAACTCTCTCTTCCTCTCTCTCTGCTTCTCCGATGCGGACAGTCCGTCGTCGCGCACCAACCCACGAAGCCGTCACCCCGCTTAGTTCTCCCGCACCCGTCAGGTTCTCCCGCGCCCACAGTCCGCCGCGGCCTGCGTTAACCCCGCGCGTTTGGCACCAGCTCATCCGGTCGCCCAACTCCTGCTCTACTCACCTCTTACTTTGCTCGTGTGCCGACCCTCTCTGATCATGCAACCCCGAGCTTCCAACAACTGGTTAAGAGAGTTAACTAATCGTGCAACCGGAATTTATAGCGTGCATGCATGCGCGAACAACACGGAGTTACAAGGACTTAGAAGGGAGATTAGAGAGAGGGAGCGCCTACGTTCTGTATGACCGGGCCGCGGCGTGGGGGACGTAGCCGCTCTCCACGCATCGATCCGATCATGCAGACTGTGGCTACCAAAACGTAGCAAAAGAAAAAGAAGAAGGGCGGGAAAGACGAAGCACAAGAAGAAAGATACAGTTACAATGGCGCCAGCCCAAAATTACAGTTACACACCCGATTAAAGGCGCCGACTAATCAGAATTCCGTTGCAGCCGCATAAGAAGCGCATAAGCAAAAGGCGTCGCGCGGCAAAAAAATGTCCTAATTACAAAATTCCTAAATTCCTAACTAATGCGAAAAAGCAAAAGTACATGTTCCAGAAGGAAAGTCCGAAATTCCGAGAGTCATCGGGGCTCGACAAAATTCGAAAAAGAACTCAAAAAGAAAATTAAAAAAGAACGAAGCAAATTCCCGCGAGATGTCCGCGCCCAAAAAGTTTCGAAACCGAACCAAAAAGAAATGACATCAACATTGATGAATCGCGCGTCTGGCGGCGCGCCAGCCATCTGACCAATCAATCACCCGTCCCGGGAGACACTCAGCTCCGACTCAGCCATCCGAAAAGAATCGATGCAAAAGACGAAGAAGCGAGGATACTGATGCAAATTTCCCATCCATCCCAATCTCCCGTAATTGGCCCAACCTTCCCAGCTTAGGACCCCTCATTGCAATCGCGCAGAAAGTCGCGCGCTACAGAAAATGGTTCGTCACATATGTGACGCCCAGGGGGTTCCAATATTAACAAGCTCCTGCTTGCTTGTTGACACGTGTCGATCGTTCTAATCGATCGACCCGTGGAGCTTTTCTTTCTATGCCACTTACCGTTCGAAAGAGTGTGGACGTCGTCCAATCGTGGCAACACAGCTCTACTACTAATTCCTCAGGAAGGGCCATCAACAATCCAAGGAGGGGATTACACATATCGCCGTCAGGACGCGTGCCCATCAGTCATACATCAGCGAGCGTCGGGGAGGGGATAGGGGAGACGATACATGGAGGGGTGGCGAGGGGGAGGGTTGATGGGTAGCGGGGGAAGGAAGCTCTCCATTCCGAACACCGTCTCCGGAAGTTCCTGATAGCGAACGATCCATTGAAAGCGGGGGGAATCGGTTGCCTGCGTGGGGAAGGGACGGGAGGTAGTCAGGGTAGAGGGTGGTAAAGGTTCGGAAAAGGGTCGCGCGGAAGTGATCGTGGTTCTCGCATGCGGGGATAGTCCCCGTAATCATGCAGTATACCTCGATCATATTGTGGCCTCGCCACGCAGCACTAAGGAAAAGCATATGGAGGTAGAAGACAGGAAGGGTGCATTGGGTGGAAGGGTGGGGATGAACAGTGACAGCGAGACAGGTAGTGCAGAAAAAGCGGAAGGTGTCGATGGGGAAGGGATTGTCGGGGAAGGTGATGTGAGTAGAAATCTGTCGGAAAGAGAGGTGGTCAAGGGGACGGCGGGATAATGACCAGGGACGAATCCCGATGCCCCGCATCGGTACGTGGACGAGTTGGTGGGCGGTCGACGGCGGAGGGGGACGGGGATCGGCTTCGTCGCCGTCTTGCCGGTGCGGCCGAAGTCTCGGCAGCTGTCTCTCCATCCTCGGGCTTAGGTGGCTCCGGATCTCGGGCCGGATCATCGATGCGCGGCTGACCGGCTGCGCTTGCGAATTCCAGTTGTCGCTTCCCGGCCGCGATCTCTTCCCTCTTCTGTGCTTGGGCCTGCGCCCGAGCTTCGTCACACACTTCGTCCTTGAATCCTTCCCACTCCGACTCTTCCAACTCCTCTTGATCTTCTTCTTCTTCGTCGCCTTGCTCTTCTTCCTCCTCCTCACTTTGCTCGCCTTCGCTGTGCTCACTGTAACTCCCCTCTTCGGGAGTTTTTTCCTCTTCGGTCTCTTCTTCTGCTTCTTTTTCTTCTTCCGAGCTTTCTTCTTCGGCTTCAATCTCTACTCCCTCGTTCTCGGAAGCTGTCCGATCTTGAAAGAAGGCGAGGTCGACTATCTCGTGGGGGTCCAGATAACCGCGTTGTGATGGCGGGTTGCTGCCGCTTCCTAGTTCCTCCAAGCACGCCGACCACTGAAGATATGGCGCCAAGGTCTGTGTGAGAACGTGCGGGACCTGGTTGTCGTCGCTTTGCAAGACGATCTCGAGTGGGAGATCGTCGGCCAGCTGCGCAAGGGGGACCATTAGCTCCTGCACGATCAATTGGCGATGATCGGGCCACACCGATCCGAACAGGAATCCGAGCAGATCGTCCTACACTTCCGTTCGCCACGCCTGGATGATAAGCAGCTTGAGGTACTCGGTCCACTGGCGGTGATCCCCGTGCCGCATCCACGTGACCCTTACTCCGACCAGACACACCGACAGCTCTACGAAGTACTCTTGCCAACGCCTCCACTGTTGGGGATCGAGGAGGGGGACAGTGAGGGATTCCAAGCAAAAGGAAAGGTGCGGATGGACTCCGGATTGACAGAAAGTGGGAAAGAAGGAGGGGAGGTCGAAAGTGGAGATCGGGGAGGGGTTCATTGAGGACGGGGAAAGGGGATGAGTTCCGGGAGCACCACCGTCGGCTCGTGCTGGAAGGTTCGGATCCCGTCGAGGTCGACGCCGTCCGTGGGAAAACGGTTATCTCCGTGGGGCGTGAGCAAACGATTCCACTCCGCCGCCAACTGCTGCGCCCACGGTCGGAGCGACGTCTTGATAGCTGTATGCCGCAATGGGCTGATAGTGCTGATGTCGCCACTGAAGGCTATCACCGTAGATACGTGGCTGATTCCCGGAGCCGATCGCCGATGAATTGCTACCGCCTCCGCCAACACAACCGCCCGCGGACTGCCTGCGAAGCGAAACTCGGTGGCTGCGTACACTCCCTGGGTACAGAAGAATTGTGCAAGTCGCCGAAGGTCCGGATTGAGCCGCGGATGATGAACTTGCCGGATCACCGAGATGTGATACTGTGGCACCAGCAGGGGATCGCCGAGAGCTCGCTCCGTAAGAAAACTCATGGGGATGGGGATGGGGACAAAGTAACGGAAGGAGAACAAGAAGGAGACGGAGAGACAGGCGATAAGCAGTTGTCGTCCTCTTCCGCAGCGGAGGAGGAGTCAGATGGAGGTAAGGATAGGGAAGGAGGAAGGGGACGAAGGTAGGACACATGGCGGATGATCGGACGAGTCGATCGGCTGTCGGAGACCTCAGGCGCAAGCCGCACGGTGTTCACGCCGTTCGGTCCGAGCTCAATCACGCGGAATCGCCCGAAGAATCGTGGCGCTAGCTTACCCTGGCGAGCACATTTCCTTACCTGCACGATGTCCCCCAATTTGTACTGGGGCCGTGGACCTGCGTTTCCGTTCCGGGCCTCGTAGCTTCGGACCTGTCGGCCGCGGGCCAACTCGGTTATTTTCTGGCGTTTTCGGGCTAGCCTGGGGAGGGACCGTTCCATTAATTCTAAGTGCCGCTTGGCCTTGTCTCGTGCTGTGGCCCTTGTGGGCCGGCGGTTGAGCGTTGATTCGTCAGGGAAGCTTGGTATCGAAACGCAGTTCTTTCCTCAGAGCAAGCTGCAGAGCCCTCTTGCAGAGAAGGGATTGAGATCTTCACTGTAACCAAAGTTGATTGCCTACATGACAGCATGAGATAAATGACAGTTCCCACAAGTCCCCTGGCTGCTAGTGAGAGGACAGGACACCGATTGTGAGATGTATTGTTTTTCTCCCCATCCACCTATCAAGCAGTCGTCTCAGTCTTGGGGCTGGGTGCTGTCACCCGTGATTGTTCCTCAGTTCCTGCAGGCGATCCGACATCCCGGGCCCAGGTCCCACTAGCAGGGTTCAGTTTCCTCAACGCCTGAATCTGGACGTGTCTGTGGAAATGTGCAGAAATCGCGTTGAGTTGAGTTTTCTCAACCGCACATCTCCACGAACACGTCCAGATTCAGGCGTTGAGGAAACTCAACGCTGCTAGTGGGACCTGGCCCCCCGTCCCCTATCCCCACCCTTCCTCAGCTCAAACCTACTGAGCTTCTGTGACAACTAGTGTGCTTGTTACGAAGCTACGTTATGACACCATTCTTGGAGGCTTCAGATTGTCCAACTGGGTTTTTTCTTACCGGCCTCCACAGGCCACTACTGGCCCAGGCCTGAACTTCAAGCCGTATGCTCTCTTAGTACTGCATGGACCATTAAGAGCCTGGCTTAGTTCTGTTTTTTTTTTTTTTTTTTTATGTGGCTTAGTTCGGTCGAACCGGTGGTTAAAAAAAAAATAAAAAAAAATCAGATTGTAAAGCAAATTTTGACACGTAGTTATATCAGCGTAAGCCGTGGCAGGTCCCACTTGCAGTGATTCCATGTCTCTGGCAAATGATCTCCGCAATTTGTGGCCGGAAATGAAGAATCCAGGGGCAAGGTCCCACTAGCAAAGAGGGTTGGATTAAGCTTCGGAATCTGGACATGTTTTAAACCGGTAGTACACGGCCCCAGCCTTGCAGAAAGTTTTTGTAGCCACAAGCAAAACTCGGAGGCGCCACGCGGCCAGACCCGCCATTAGAAAAATAAAATCGGCGGCCTCCGAAGTGGTGCCGGTTTCATGCTGGCACCCGCAGGCGGATATGTGGTGTACTGGTGAGATGCGGAAAAGCAGTTCAATCTCGATTTTCTGCACCTTTCCATGGACACGTCCAGATTCAGGCATTCAATCAAATACCCTTTTTTGCTAGTGGGACTCAGCTACCCGGATGTTCCCCTTTGAGTACAGCCCTGGACTGACGAGGAACGGCAAGGAACAAAATAAAAAGAACAA